ATAGATTACAGTAGGTTTATAGGTTACAGGTGTGTTGAACTCCACTCCGTTTCGTTCAACTAATTATAGATTACAGTAGGTTTATAGGTTACAGGTGTGTTGAACTCCACTCCGTTTCACTCCGTTTCGTTCAACTGTTTATAGATTACAGAAGGTTTATAGGTTACAGGTGTAAAATATAATCTCAGTAGTCTGAGAAAATAAAAAAAATCAGTTGAAAAACACGAACAAAAACATTAAGACGTGTTTCATTAAAAATTAAAAATAAAACAACAGGTGTGTTGAACTCAGATCTTATAGATTACAGTAGGTTTATAAATTACAGGTGTGTTGAACTTCAATATCAATATTTATTTTTAAATACTTTTAAAGTCATAGATGCAACCAAATTATCTAGATCGATCTGGATTTTTAAAAACGGGTAAAATTTTCACGCCTTCACTTCGCTTCGCTCCGTTCAGGTCGTAAAAATTTGTGAGCTTCGCTCAACCTAGTTTAGATTTATAGGTTACAGGTGTGTTGAACTCCACTCCGTTTCACTCCGTTTCGTTCAACTGTTTATAGATTACAGTAGGTTTATAGGTTACAGGTGTGATGAACTTCACTCCGTTTCACTCCGTTTCGTTCAACTGTTTATAGATTACAGTAGGTTTATAGGTTACAGGTGTGTTGAACTCCACTCCGTTTCACTCCGTTTTGTTCAACTGTTTATAGATTACAGTTGGTTTATAGGTTACAGGTGTGTTGAACTCCACTCCGTTTCACTCCGTTTCGTTCAACTGTTTATAGATTACAGTAGGTTTATAGGTTACAGGTGTGTTGAACTCCACTCCGTTTCACTCCGTTTCGTTCAACTGTTTATAGATTACAGTAGGTTTATAGGTTACAGGAACTTAAAACCAAAATCCAGTAAAGTTTTAATCATGTCTGAAACTTAAAATCAAGATCCAGTAAAGTTCTAATCATGTCTGAAACTTAAAACCAAGATCCAGTAAAGTTTTAAGCATGTCTGAAACTTAAAACCAAGATCCAATAAAGTTTAAAGCATGTCTGAAACTTAAAACCAAGATCCAGTAAAGTTTAAAGCATGTCTGAAACTTAAAACCAAGATCCAGTAAAGTTTTAAGAATGTCTGAAACTTAAAACCAAGATCCAGTAAAGTTTTAATCATGTCTGAAACTTAAAACCAAGATCCAGTAAAGTTTTAAGAATGTCTGAAACTTAAAACCAAGATTCAGTAAAGTTTTAAGCATGTCTGAAACTTAAAACCAAGATCCAGTAAAGTTTTAAGCATGTCTGAAACTTAAAATCAAGATCCAGTAAAGTTTTAACCATGTCTGAAACTTAAAATCTAGATCCAGTAAAGTTATAAGCATGTCTGAAACTTAAAATCAAGATCCAGTAAAGTTTTAAGCATGTCTGAAACTTAAAATCAAGATCCAGTAAAGTTTTAAGCATGTCTGAAACTTAAAATCAAGATCCAGTAAAGTTTTAAGCATGTTCGAAACTTAAAACCAAGATCCAGTAAAGTTTTAATCATGTTTGAAACTTAAAACCAAGATCCAGTAAAGTTTAAAGCATGTCTGAAACTTAAAATCAAGATCCAGTAAAGTTTTAATCATGTCTGAAACTTAAAACCAAGATCCAGTAAAGTTTTAAGCATGTCTGAAACTTAAAACCAAGATCCAGTAAAGTTTAAAGCATGTCTGAAACTTAAAACCAAGATCCAGTAAAGTTTAAAGCATGTCTGAAACTTAAAACCAAGATCCAGTAAAGTTTTAATCATGTCTGAAACTTAAAACCAAGATCCAGTAAAGTTTTAAGCATGTTTGAAACTTAAAACCAAGATCCAGTAAAGTTTTAATCATGTCTGAAACTTAAAATCAAGATCCAGTAAAGTTCTAATCATGTCTGAAACTTAAAACCAAGATCCAGTAAAGTTTTAAGCATGTCTGAAACTTAAAACCAAGATCCAATAAAGTTTAAAGCAAGTCTGAAACTTAAAACCAAGATCCAGTAAAGTTTAAAGCATGTCTGAAACTTAAAACCAAGATCCAGTAAAGTTTTAATCATGTCTGAAACTTAAAACCAAGATCCAGTAAAGTTTTAAGCATGTTTGAAACTTAAAACCAAGATCCAGTCAAGTTTTAAGCATGTCTGAAACTTAAAACTAAGATCCAGTAAAGTTTAAAGCATGTCTGAAACTTAAAACCAAGATCCAGTAAAGTTTAAAGCATGTCTGAAACTTAAAACCAAGATCCAGTAAAGTTTTAATCATGTCTGAAACTTAAAACCAAGATCCAGTAAAGTTTTAAGCATGTTTGAAACTTAAAACCAAGATCCAGTAAAGTTTTAATCATGTCTGAAACTTAAAATCAAGATCCAGTAAAGTTTTAAGCATGTCCGAAACTTAAAACCAAGATCCAGTAAAGTTTTAAGCATGTCTATAACTAAAAACCAAGATCCAGTAAAGTTTTAAGCATGTCTATAACTTAAAACCAAGATCCAGTAAAGTTTTAAGCATGTCTGAATCTTAAAACCAAGATCCAGTAAAGTTTTAAGCATGTCTGAAACTTAAAACCAAGATCCAGTAAAGTTTTAATCATGTGTGAAACTTAAAACCAAGATCCAGTAAAGTTTTAAGCATGTCTGAAACTTAAAACCAAGATCCAGTAAAGTTTAAATCATGTCTGAAACTTAAAACCAAGATCCAGTCAAGTTTTAAGCATGTCTGAAACTTAAAATCAAGATCCAGTAAAGTTTTAATCATGTCTGAAACTTAAAATCAAGATCCAGTAAAGTTTTAATCATGTCTGAAACTTAAAACCAAGATCCAGTAAAGTTTTAAGCATGTCTATAACTAAAAACCAAGATCCAGTAAAGTTTTAAGCATGTCTATAACTTAAAACCAAGATCCAGTAAAGTTTTAAGCATGTCTATAACTAAAAACCAAGATCCAGTAAAGTTTTAAGCATGTCTATAACTTAAAACCAAGATCCAGTAAAGTTTTAAGCATGTCTGAATCTTAAAACCAAGATCCAGTAAAGTTTTAAGCATGTCTGAAACTTAAAACCAAGATCCAGTAAAGTTTTAATCATGTGTGAAACTTAAAACCAAGATCCAGTAAAGTTTTAAGCATGTCTGAAACTTAAAACCAAGATCCAGTAAAGTTTAAATCATGTCTGAAACTTAAAACCAAGATCCAGTCAAGTTTTAAGCATGTCTGAAACTTAAAATCAAGATCCAGTAAAGTTTTAATCATGTCTGAAACTTAAAATCAAGATCCAGTAAAGTTTTAATCATGTCTGAAACTTAAAACCAAGATCCAGTCAAGTTTTAAGCATGTCTGAAACTTAAAACCAAGATCCAGTAAAGTTTAAAGCATGTCTGAAACTTAAAACCAAGATCCAGTAAAGTTTAAAGCATGTCTGAAACTTAAAACCAAGATCCAGTAAAGTTTAAAGCATGTCTGAAACTTAAAACCAAGATCCAGTAAAGTTTTAATCATGTCTGAAACTTAAAACCAAGATCCAGTAAAGTTTTAAGCATGTTTGAAACTTAAAACCAAGATCCAGTAAAGTTTTAATCATGTCTGAAACTTAAAATCAAGATCCAGTAAAGTTTTAAGCATGTCCGAAACTTAAAACCAAGATCCAGTAAAGTTTTAAGCATGTCTATAACTAAAAACCAAGATCCAGTAAAGTTTTAAGCATGTCTATAACTTAAAACCAAGATCCAGTAAAGTTTTAAGCATGTCTGAATCTTAAAACCAAGATCCAGTAAAGTTTTAAGCATGTCTGAAACTTAAAACCAAGATCCAGTAAAGTTTTAATCATGTGTGAAACTTAAAACCAAGATCCAATAAAGTTTTAAGCATGTCTTAACTTAAAACCAAGATCCAGTAAAGTTTTAAGCATGTCTGAAACTTAAAACCAAGATCCAGTAAAGTTTTAAGCATGTCTGAAACTTAAAATCAAGATCCAGTAAAGTTTTAAGCATGTCTGAAACTTAAAATCAAGATCCAGTAAAGTTTGAGAAAAAGTACAAGTGGGCTTTGACAATTTCAATTTGAATTTTTTTTATAATTAAGAAATAAGAAAAAGATATAAGTAGGCTTTGACAATTACAATTTCAATCAATTTTATAATTAAGATAAGAAAAAGTTCGTAGTGAACTTTGAAAATTTGTTGAAAGTGAAAAATCATTGTGGAAAATTAATTCAATCATTTAACAAGTATTTAACACACTTTCACAGACATTGTGAAAGTAAAATTGAAATTGTGCTGTCGTTGGAAATAAGATCCATTAAGTATAAGCCTGTTTGAAACAAAAACAAAATAATCGAGTAGGAAAAAAATTAAGAATTAAACAAAAAAAAAAATATTTTCATTGATACAAATAAAGTTTGTATTTAATAACATAGATACAGTATGCTGAATCTTGTAAAGGAACTTGCTAGTTCCAACATTTTTTCACATACATTTAACTTAATGCATACTGTCACAACCATTTTATTAATATCACACTAATACCAACAAATATTTCCGTTGTAAACAAAAAATAAATATGTTATGTAATAATCGGTTAAACTTTTCCCATACAAATATGTTTATGCATCTTGTGCCTCACTGGAAGCATCTTATGACTCCAAAAACAATACAGTTCTTGCGGTAGCCTTTATCTATCAGAAGCAAAAAACCGGAAGTCTTAATATTAAGTTTGAAGCGAGTTATCGCACCGATTAACTAACTAACTAACAGAATGCCCTTTTTTGCGAGTTTTTGGAACTGGAACTGCCAAATGAAAAATTGTTTTCACCATTAGATAGGTATTTCGAGGCACAAACTTTTACATATCAGGTATTTGGGTTGATTTCGTAAGCCTGAAGCAGAAAGTTAAAAAAACTGATTTTCCGAAAAACCAAAAACAATATATTCACAAAAATTGAAAATTTTGTGTGAATATGATTCTCTTTTACTAAAATTTCCTCTTTTCTTTACCTATTCCAAATATGAATGCAGTGACACGTGTTATAAGCTCATTATGAATAGCTCTTGGTGTTGCATAAATCTTTGCAGTTACAGATTCACCTCTTACTGCTTGGCATCGATCTCCACTACACTGAGGAGATACAATATAATCTGGCCCAGGAACATTTGAACCAGGACAATTAGACCAAAAAGTATCTGCAAAACAGGAACTTGAGAGAAAAATGATGAAAATTATAAACTTCATTGTTTTAGAAAATCAACTAGACTGGAATAAATTATTATCAATTCTACCTACTTATGATTAAGATTTGCTGAAGATAAGATTAAAGAATTCTATCAATAAACAAAAACAATGGCAAATGTTAATACAAAATACAAAATATCGAAGATAATTGATTAAAAAGATAGTGACAAATAATATATGCACACATCCTAGACGTCTTCTAAACCTTAATATTATACTAATGAGGACAATGTCATCTACAAAATAAGATAAAAAAATTTTAAATTTGTTAGAATTAAAATCAAATGATCACTTCGAATAGGGTTTGAGACGGTTACGCATGGACTTCTAACCTTTTACAATGAAACCCACAGTAGACTATTTTTAAAAAATTGCGGCAATCGAGCATTTTTTGGAATAGTTTAACCATATTCCTTTAGAATCTTAATTTTTTTATAATCTTTTTCATATCCCCCCCCCCCCCCCCCCTCTTGTGACGTTCAATCCAAGACATAACAAAATTATAATTTCCTGATTAAAAAGTTCCCTTACCACAATATGTCACAACGTTTTTGATCCCCCCCCCCCTTCATTCCTAAATGTTGGATGTCATAAGTGAACGACCCCTATTTTCCACCAAGAAATTTTGTTTTTTGATTTTTTTATCATTTAAAGCTTGGGTAGGTTAACTTCAATCGACTACTCCAGCATCAATGAACAATTTTAACAGAAGTATTATACATTTTTAATCATCATTCATGTAAAAAGTTATAACCATTTGAGGAGTGACCGAAAAAGCATACAGAACGGCAACCAACATAAACAAAAATACGTAAACTAAAAATATGAAATAAAACGTAATTAATTGATTCACTAGAATATTTTAGCATTTTAAATTATTAATTTATAAATTTATTTATAGGTATCACAAAATATATTACAATTGAGAATACATCGATGGTTTTTGAATTGCGTATCAAATTATTTTAATTGCAGATTGTTGTCTCCTTCAATGTCAAACTGCCAAGTTTTTCCTCAATCTCAAAATGCTCTTTCTTAAAATCGTCCTAAAATCAAAATCCACGTTCAAATTAAAAATATTACGTTTTAGATGGATAATTTACCTTATTATATATTACTTTTACTTTCAATGAGCAGCTTGGACATGTTGCTTCCTCTAATCCATCCATAAGTTCCTCCTTGAAAGAAATTTTAGTGAAAAACTATGGAATAATTACAATTAAGCATTTACTTACCCTAGTTATAATAAACTCATCGCCACATGGACAAGGATATGTATAAAGATCTTCTTCCTCGCAATATTCAAAGTCCTCAATTTCTATCTCGTCGTGGAAAACCGACATTATTAATTAAATTTATTTTTCTCTTCAAAAAACGCACTATCTCAATAAATCGAAAACTTTTCGAATATTTACATGCTTTCAAATCTAAATTTGAATGTTTTATGACCGTTATTTTATTTTAACGAAACCACCTGATAAGCTTTTAAATTGAAAAGGAAGCTAAGACTTGAAAAAAATTTAATGTGATCCGTACCTGAAGATTGAAAATTCAATACCGTGCAAAATTTAATATTTAAAAATGAAATATACCCTTTTTCGAAATTTGAAATTATAGAGATAGTCAAAAAATTTGAACAGCTTATACTTTATGAAGCAATTTTTTACAGTTTGTACTGTATTGAACTCACATATATGAGAATTCCCTTATCCTGAACATATAAAAAGATGTGTGGAAATAAGAAAATTAATAACCTTTAATACTTTTGAAAAAATGTCAATAAAATGTAAGAACTCTTAGTGCCGAAATAAAAAAATTGAGCAGGACGGTGGGGCGTTTTCTCATTTTAAAGGTAAGAAAATTAAAATAAACTGATAAAAAAAATTAACTTAATTTTTTTGAAGTTCTGAATAACTTCAAACTTATTCATATTACGACTCAGTTGCGTCTAATTGCTTCCGATTTGTGGTATGACTCCATCCTTTTTGCACATGATGCATTTGTCCTCACAAAGTCAGTTCATGTAAATTGTTGATAAATAAACGGATTGTCATATTTTGATGAATTTAGAAGTGGTAATGCTTTTAGTGCTTGTTTAACTATAATGTCTTGGCAAAAAAAGTCTTCTTCCGAACATGCTCCGCCTGTGATGTATGCAAACTGATGAAGTATTGAGGGATAAATTTCTTGGACCTTTGAAGCATGTGCAATTCCAAGGCAGCATGTGACTCAATCGATCAGGAGGGCCTTTTCAGTATCACGGCAGTATTTCACTCCCGCATCAGATGATTAGATTGCTTAAACCATCGCGTTAAAGTTAAAGGCTCTACATCAATTATGTTTGAATCCAAGTTTGGCTGCAGACATAAGATTAACTTTCAACTAAACTCTTTAACATCGCGTTTCGTTTTGAATTTTAGAAACTGAAAAAAAGGGACACGACACGATTGAAAAACAAATCAAAACTTAAATTTTTACTGGAATAAATGAAATCTTGAACTGTTCGTTCATTTCGTGATAATTCCCTCGTTTTTTAACTTCATTACTCTACATACCTTAAAATCGGGTCATATGCTAAGTCTTCAAAGCTTGTGGGAATCGATGATCTTTTTATAACATATTCATTGACATTGCTGAATCGATGAAAATTGTTGAAGAGTGAAAATTGTTTTCAATGCTCACTATAGTTTATCTATGTATTTTTTTTTCACTTAAATTGCATTAATTTGATGAAAAACTGTGATGAATATGCAAGGTCATGCATAAGTAATTTATTCTATAGCTTTCAATGTCTTAAAGGCAATTGAATTAATTATACTTTGAATTAAAGCATTTGTGAATTAAACTGGAACTGATTCAAGAACATACACTGGATCTTATGTAGCAAATCGTGTGACTGATAAATTAACAAAAATTAATATTAATTGATTTTATATCTATATAAACATTCTTTATCATTTATAATGCCTAGATATGTTTTAAAATGCAATTTAAAGCATTTTTGATTTCGATCATAGTAGGCTATTTTCAAAAAAAAAAAAATCGATTTTATGTCAATATTAGCATTCTTTATCATTTATAATACCTAGATATGATTCAAAATGCAATTTAAAGCATTTTTAGTTTCGATCATAGTAGGCTATTTTCAAAAAAAATATCGATTTTATATCTATATTAGCATTCTTTATCATTTATAATACCTAGATATGATTCAAAATGCAATTTAAAGCATTTTTAGTTTCGATCATAGTAGGCTATTTTCAAAAAAAATATCGATTTTATATCTATATTAGCATTCTTTATCATTTATAATACCTAGATATGTTTCAAAATGCAATTTAAAGCATTTTTTATTTCGATCATAGTAGGCTATTTTCAAAAAATATCGATTTTATATCTATATTAGCATTCTTTATCATTTATAATACCTAGATATGTTTTAAAATGCAATTTAAAGCATTTTTTATTTCGATCATAGTAGGCTATTTTCAAAAAATATCGATTTTATATCTATATTAGCATTCTTTATCATTTATAATACCTAGATATGTTTTAAAATGCAATTTAAAGCATTTTTGATTTCGATCATAGTAGGCTATTTTCAAAAAAATATCGATGTTATATCTATATTAGCATTCTTTATCATTTATAATACCTAGATATGTTCCAAAATGCAATTTAAAGCATTCTTGATTTCGATCATAGTAGGCTATTTTCAAAAAAATAATGGTTTTTTATCTATATTAGCATTCTTTATCATTTGAGTAATTCATATTGAAAATGTCGTAAAAACATTTTCATGCAGTTTCAAGCTTGTCGATTAAATATATTTTCAATAACTCAAAATTTTGCCGACATATTGTACATCATTGGAAAGGTATTTATTTGATCTTTAAAAATATGTTAATTAAATTAATTTTAAACCGGTTTTATCGGTTAATTTACCGGTTCAAACTTAGTGAGAAAATTAAAAAAAGTAAATTGGAATAACTTTTACAGTTTTCAACCATTTTCAATGATTCTTTTTTTGGCTAAAAGCCTATATATTTGCAGTTAGCTTTAACATTAATTAATTTTTTTCCAATGTATGGAACATCATTTTTTGCGGCCCCCAAGTTTTTGACTAAAGTAGCTCTTATTTGAAAACGATAATAGATATTGATTTCAAATTTTTTGCATGTTACTTGTATTTTTATTCCCTTTGTAACAACATACAATAATATGGGGTTCATTCATAAATTTTGACCAAAATTTACTAAAACAGCTCTCATTTGAAAACGATAATAGATATTGATTTCAAACTTTTTGCATATTACTTGTATTTTTATTACCTTTCCAACGACATACAATAACATGGGGTTCATCCATAAATTTTGACCAAAATTTACTCAAACAAAATTTTCATACGAATTTTTCAAATTTTTATATTCAGTCACCGTTTTCACGTGTGAATTTATTGGTTTTGTTCAGATTGAAAAATCAGTTTTTTGAATTTTGTGAGGATATGGAGCAAAATAGCTTTAAATGTTCAGAGATGAAAAGTTTGTGCCTGGAATTTCACATCTTTTGCAAAAAACAGATTTCAAATTGGTTTCGGCATTGCTGAGAAAATCGCAAAATACGCTTTCTGTAAGCAAACAAACAAGCAAGCAAGCAAGCAAGTTAATCAGCAAGAAATCTCAATAACGAGACATCGTAGAGACTTCTAGTTTTTTACATTTGATCCGTGCTGCTCTATAGAAGAGCTGTATTGTTTTTGGGCAAGGTAGGAACAGCCGTTGCTTCAGAAAAAGCAAAAAACTTTCCTTTCTTACGAATTTTTCAAAACAAAAGTTCACTGTGTATTTTTTAAATTAAACTTTGGATGCTTCGCTAGCATTATACCTTTAAACTTATGCTAAGCAAATCTTGGTCTATCCATAAGACTTTTGATGGTACGGTGTGAATATATCCGCATTGGGTTTCTACCCGATACACTAGTTTCTTTGATTTTTAATAGAAAAACAGGAATAATAAAACGAAAAACTTTTTAATACTTAAATTTTGAGATTTATTATTAAAAAGATAGTAAAAATAAGAAAGTTTAAAAAATTATTCTTCATCATTGTCTAAAGACCCCAAATTTTCATAAAAGTTGTAATATTCAAGCGGTATATAAGGAAGTAGATCAAGAAGATCTTTCTTTTTTGCAGCTGTGATACGACGTTCGTTAGGATATTATATAAATTAAATTTAAATTTAAATAAATTTAATTTGTATATTATTATAAAATTAAATAAATCTCAAAATTTAAGTATTAAAAAGTTTTTCGTTTTATTATTCCTGTATTTCTATTAAAAATCAAAGAAAAAATTTGAAAAATTCGTATGAAAATTTTGTTTGAGTAAATTTTGGTCAAAATTTATGGATGAACCCCATGTTATTGTATGTCGTTGGAAAGGTAATAAAAATACAAGTAATATGCAAAAAGTTTGAAATCAATATCTATTATCGTTTTCAAATGAGAGCTGTTTTAGTAAATTTTGGTCAAAATTTATGAATGAACCCCATATTATTGTATGTTGTTACAAAGGGAATAAAAAACAATTAATATGCAAAAAGTTTGAAATCAATATCTATTATCGTTTTCAAATGAGAGCTGTTTTAGTAAATTTTGGTCAAAATTTATGAATGAACCCCATATTATTGTATGTTGTTACAAAGGGAATAAAAATACAAGTAACATGCAAAAAATTTGAAATCAATATCTATTATCGTTTTCAAATAAGAGCTACTTTAGTCAAAAACTTGGGGGCCGCAAAAAATGATGTTCCATACATTGGAAAAAATTTAATTAATGTTAAAGCTAACTGCAAATATATAGGCTTTCAGCCAAAAAAAGAATCATTGAAAATGGTTGAAAACTGTAAAAGTTATTCCAATTTACTTTTTTTAATTTTCTCACTAAGTTTGAACCGGTAAATTAACCGATAAAACCGGTTTAAAATTAATTTAATTAACATATTTTTAAAGATCAAATAAATACCTTTCCAATGATGTACAATATGTCGGCAAAATTTTGAGTTATTGAAAATATATTTAATCGACAAGCTTGAAACTGCATGAAAATGTTTTTACGACATTTTCAATATGAATTACTCTTATAATACCTAGATATGTTTTAAAATGCAATTTAAAGCATTTTTGGTTTCGATCATAGAAGGCTTTATTCAAAGAATATCGATTTTATATCTATATTAGCATTCTTTATCATTTATAATACCCAGATATGTTTTAAAATGCAATTTAAAGCATTTTTGGTTTCGATCATAGTAGGCTATTTTCAAAAAAATATCGATTTTATTTCTATATTAGCATTCTTTATGATTTATAATACCAAGATATGTTTCAAAATGCA